TTACAGGTTGGGACTCTTGGGGAGTGACTGGGAACCCAAAATCAGACTTCCCTGCCCTCTGGCAGACTTGGTGTCTCCTTCTCTGCCCCCTCACAGACTTGGCCACAACTAAATCTAGCACTTTATCCTGAGCATGGCGTGAAATTACGTGCCATTTGGAGGCCGCCAAAGTGCCCAGTATTAATTGAAGCACAGTTTGGTTAAACGCGCATCCACTTGCTCTGTGCCAGCCCAGTGCAGGCTGCTAGGAATTGAGATGAAAAGTACCCTTCCTTGTGCTTTGGAAGCCTAGGGAAGAAAGAGCACCAGTCTCGGAGGCCAAAGAGACCCAGGCGTGGCAACTGGCCTTCAATGACTTTTGGCTTCCTGACCTGGGCCTCAGTTTTTCTCCTTCTATACAATGAGGAGGAGGCATGGCTACCTACATATGCTGTGGGAAGGATGAGTGAGGCCATGCAGAGCAGCTTGGCATAGACTCTGGCCCAGTAAGTGGATCTTTATAATGGTTATCATCTGTTTAGTGAATGACTGCGTCCATCAGGGCCAGGATGAGTTGGTTTCTCACCTCTGTACCTGGAGCACCTCATGCCCGCAGGCCCCCTGCCTAGTAAATGCGCGCTGTTTGTGGCGAGGAACGACATGAAAATCAAATGCCTGTGGAGCTCTCAGAGGTAGCTGGCGCTTTAAGGCATGAATGTTTTACCATCAAATAATGCTCTCTGCTAGCGCATCAACTCTCAGCCTCTGCTCCTTAGTACTGGCGAGGAGAGGAACACTCTCTTTTTTTTTTTTTTTTGAGATGGACGTTTTGCTCCTGTTTGCCCAGGTTGAAGTGCAGTGGTAGCATCTCAGCTCCACTGCTACCTCGCCTCCTGGCTTCAAGCGATTCTTCCACCCTCAGCCTACTCGAGTAGCTGCCTGACTACAGCGTGCGGTGCTCGCCATGGCCTGACTAATTTTCTTTGTATTTTTAGATAGAGACGGGGTTTCATCCTGTTGGCCAGGCTGGTCTCAAACCTCTGGCCATCGGTGATCCGTCTGCCTTCCGCTCCCAAAGTTGCAGGGATTATAGGTGTGAGGCCACACGACCCCGCCAAGGCTACCACTCTTTTAACTTTGATTTGCCTGTGGTAATTTTACCTTATTGTTTTAGAGACAGGGGGGGGTGTCTGCTATGTTGCCTAGACTGGACTGAACTCCTAGCCCTCAAGCAATCCTCCTGCCGGCCCCCGCTTGGCCTCTGAAAAGTGCTGGGATTCAGGTCTGAGCACCCGTGTCCAGCCTGCTTGTGGGATTTTAAATGCAATAGTCTAGCTTGCACGGTGAGACATTTCCGTAAAAACCTGTGGAGTCGTGCATGTAAGCTGTGGAGAACCCTGATATGAATCCAACTGCCCTCCACAGAAACATTTCAACAATAGATTCAGCACCATGTAGCACGGTGGAACTCATGCCGTAACTGCCCAGCACTTCTTGAGAGGCCGAGGCAGCGAGGTCGTGCTTTACGCCCAGTGGGTTTGAGACCAGCCTGAGCAACACCAGTGAGACGACCCATCTCTTACAACAAAAATAACATTAGTTGGCGGTGGTGGCACTATAACTACTAGTCCTAGCTAATCATAGACTGGAGGCAGGAGGATCACCTTGAGCCAGGAGGTTTGAAGGCTGGCAGTGGAGCCATGATCATGCCATTGACTGCAGCCTGCGGGAGACAAGACTGAGACCCTATCTGCCAAAATAAAAAACAATAAAAATGTCATAGCCAATCACCTCACTGATTTGTACTTTCAGACTATGTTTAACCAATCGCCCTGAAACTTGAGTTCCTTTCATTCCTCCTTCTTTTCATATTATTGCACATTTAAAATAGCCACTGTGGCTGGCACAGTTCGCTCACGCCTTATATCAGTCCCAACACTTTGGGAGGCTGAGGCAGTCAGATCACTCGAGGCCAGGAAGTTTGAGAACCAGGCCTGGCCCACATGGCAACACCCCATCTGTAAAAAATGTAAAAATATGCTGGCGTGTGTCGGTGAGCATACCTGTAATCCCAGCTACCTCAGGACGGTCTGGAGGCAGGACGAATCGCTGAAACCCGGGAGGCCAGCAGGTTGCCATGAGCCAAGATTGTGCCACTTGCAGCTCGAGTCTGGTATTTTGGAGCAAGATCGTCCTCAGAAAAAAAAAAAAAAAATTAGCCACTGTGCTTGCATAAATAACATCGAAAAGCAGGACTCTCTCCCTCAAGTAGAAACTGTTTCAAATAAGAGAGAGACACATAAACATGTAACAGTTTTGAATGCTGTAAGGTAGAGAGAGACTCATTCAGCTCGCAAGTGTTTATGCTGGGTGTGTGGCTCAACGCTTGTAATCCAACACTTTGGGAAGGCCAAGGGTGGCGAACTTTGGGAGGCCAAGGTGGGCAGATCACCTGATGTCAAGAGTTCAAGACCAGTCTGGGCAACATGGTGAAACCCTGTCTCTACTCAAAATACAAAACCTAGCTAGGCATTGTGTTGGGCACCTGTTGTCCCAGTTACTTGGGAGACAGAGGCAGGAGAATTGCTTGAGCCCAGGAGGCAGAGGTTGCAGTGAGTCGAGATCATGCTGCTGTACTCCAACCTGGCAACCTAGGCAACAGAGTGAGATTCTGTCTCAAAAAAAAAAAAGGAAAGAAAGAAAGAAAAATGTTTATTGAGCTCCTTTTATGAGCAGGGATGGACCAAGTGCATGGAGTGCTCACAGGAGAGAGTGAAGCCAGGCAGGCCTTCAGCTGCACCTGTTTTTCTCTCTTCACTGTCCATCCATCTCCAGACTCATATCTAGACCTGTTTAATCTAACTCACAACTGGATTTTGCATTTAGATGCTCCACAGGCACTCAGCATACCTCAAACTAAACTCTCTTCTTCTTTCCCTTAAAACTCAACTTCTTCTTGAGCCTTCTGTCTACCCAAAATCCAAGCCAGATCCAAGGGATTGGATGTCCCTTCTACCCTACTATCCCCCCACACTCCCTCACATCTATTCAGTGTCAGTGTCCTGTTAATTTCCTCTTCAGTATTTCTCTCATTGACCCCTGCCTTCTCATCCTGCCTGAAGCTGCACGTCTAAGTCCTCATCTCATCACACCTGGACCATCACAACCTTCTGTTTCCTGCGATTAAAGAACGATATGTTTTGAAACCAGACATGCCAGAGTTAAAACCCTGGTTGCCACCATTTTAGAAGCTGTATGAAACTCTGGGCAAAGCTGAACTATAGTGGTTAGGATTGCAAACAAAGGTGGCAAAACTAGGGGAAAAAGGAAATAATTATCACAAAAGTCAGATTATGGTAACCTAGGGGAAGTGCAATTATCAGGAAGGGACACAGGTGGCTTCTGGAATACTGGCAAGGTTCTTTTTACTTGACTGAGCAGTAGTTACATAGGTGTTCTTTTATATTTTTAATTAATTTTTTATAATTGAGTTGTAGGTATATATTTTACTTTATCATTTAAAACATTTTAAGGCCAGACATGGTGGCTCATTCCTGTAATCCCAGCACTTTGGGAGACTGAGATGAGAAGCTCACTTGAGGCCAGGAGTTTGAGACCAGACTGGCAACATAGTGAGACCCTGTCTCTACAAAAAGTAAGAAAAAAAATTAGCCAGGTATGGTGGCGCACACCTGTAGTCCCAGCTACTCAGGAGACTGAGGCAGGAGGATTGCTTGAGCCCAGGAGGTTAAGGCTGCAGTGAGCTATGATCGTGCCGCTGCTCTCCAGCCTGGGCAACAGAGTGAGACCTCATCTCAGAAAAACAAAACAAAACAAAACAAAACAAAAATATCTTTTGAAATTCAATGAGACTTTTCTATGTAAAGTATCAACTGGCACTCAGAGCACAGGAACAGATCAGGAAATCTTGGTTACCAGCTCTGATTGTTGTGTCCTTTCTTCCGTATGCCAAGCTATCCTTGGTGGTAAAATACAAAAAGAATAAGACACCATTCTGTGCTCAAGGGGGTCCCATCCTGCTAAACCTTCCTGAAGTCGTAGAGCTCATGAGTAGTAGAACCAGGTTTCCTGAAGCCAAACCCTTTCCTCTAGTAAAGAAAGATTCATTTCACACAAGGGGATTGCCCTTCTAAAACCAATGATAGTAAATGGTTAATGCTCCCTACCAGACAGCAGACTCCTTGGCTGATCCATCTCCATCCCCAGTGCTTGCACAGAGGCTGGCACCTGCAGACTTTGGAGAATGTGAGGAATAGAGGAGACCAGAGAATAACCCCTGTGTTTTCCCTCTCCCAGGCTGGCCAAGGAGCAGGGCCTTGGCCCATGGTCTCATAGAGCCTGGCCTGTTCTGGAAGAGCACCCAGTTTTTCCTTCTAGGCTACCCAAGCCCCATTGATGATGGGTGAGAGGGAGGAGGACGACGACACTGAGGAAGCCTGGCTGCAGCTGCGGCCCATGGAACCCCTGCCCTCCCAGTGCTGTGGCAGTGGCTGCTCACCCTGTGTGTTTGACCTCTATCACCGAGACCTGGCAAGGTGGGAGGCAGCCCGAGCCAGCAAGGACAGGAGCCTGCTGCGTGGGCCAGAGTCACAGGTGAGGGAGACTGCTTCTCGATATGAGCACCAGGGCGGCAGAATCTACTAGCCTTGGCCCTGCAAAGCACACCTCTAGGAAGCCTTCCCTGACTGTACAGCAGAAGAAAAGAGTACACATAACAGAAGCAAACAGATCCAGGCTCAAAGCCCAGCCCTGAAGCAAACTTATTAGCAGCTGTGTGGTTTGAGGCAAAGTCCCTTAGTCGACCTAAGCCTTAGTTTCCCCATCTGTAAATTGAGGCTAAATGTTTGTGATGTGTAGCACAGAGCTTGACATCCATTTCACTTAACTATGTTTATTGAGTACCTATTATATACCAGGCCCTGTGAGACAGAGAGGATTTGAGAGTGAGCGTGACAGACACAGTCCTTGTCCTTATGGACTAAACTAGCCATAGTTTATTCTAGGTAAATAATGGATGTTAGGGCTGATATTTTTTTCTTCTCTGGCCCTTACTGACTTTTTCCTCCTTAACTCCTGCAGGACTTCATAGTCTGGACTAAGCAGATTAGCCCTTTATTGTAATGTTTAGGAGGGTTCACAGTTATAAATGTCAGAACACCGGACTTCATCCCCTGTATTACACAGATAGGGGAACTGAGGACCCATTCCTTCTGGCACTGTGCATAGGTTTTGTTTTGCATCTGTCCCTGTCTTGGTCTCCCGCATCTGAACAGTCTTCCCATTTTCTGTGTCCCTCCTGACTAATGTGGAGTAGAGGTGTCTCCCATTTCTACCTCTCTCAATGCCATCTGGCATCATCATCACTTTTTTTTTTCTTTTTTGTAGAGATGGAATCTCGCTATGTTGCCAGGGCTGGTCTCGAATTCTTGGTCTCAAGTGATCTTCCCACGTCAGCCTCCCAAAGTGATGGGATTACAGGCGTGAGCCACCTTGCCTAGCCATCATCACTTTTTGACCAACCATTCCTCATTCTTGGGGCTCAAACTAGACCAAAGCTTAGTCATTTTTACACATGTTGTTCTTAAGCTATTATAGATCGGACATTCTGAACAAATGCAGTTGTTTTTCTTTTCTTTTTTCTTTCTTTTTTTTTTGAGATGGAGTTTTGCTCTTGTTGCCCAGGCTGGAGTGCAGTGGCGTGATCTTGGTTCACTGCAACCTCCGCCTCCCAGGTTCAAGCAATTCTCATGTCTCAGCCTCCCAAGTAGCTGGGATTACAGGCGTGTGCCACCACACCTGACTAATTTTATATTTTTAGTAGAGATGGGGTTTCACCATGTTGGCCAGGCTGGTCTCGAACTCCTGACCTCAACTGATCTGCCTGCCTCAGCCTCTCAAAGTAGTGGGATTACAGGTGTGAGCCACTGTACCTGGCCATATTTTTGCTTTTTATGAAGATAGAGACGGGGTCTTGCAAGCTGGAGCGCAGTGGCGTGATCTTGGTTCACTGCAACCTCCGCCTCCCAGGTTCAAGCAATTCTCATGTCTCAGCCTCCCAAGTAGCTGGGATTACAGGCGTGTGCCACCACACCTGACTAATTTTATATTTTTAGTAGAGATGGGGTTTCACCATGTTGGCCAGGCTGGTCTCGAACTCCTGACCTCAACTGATCTGCCTGCCTCAGCCTCTCAAAGTAGTGGGATTACAGGCGTGAGCCACCACGCCTGGCCTTTTTTTTGCATTTTTAGTAGAGTTGGGGTTTTACCATGTTGGTCTTGAACTCCTGACCTCAACTGATCTGCCTGCCTCAGCCTCTCAAAGTAGTGGGATTACAGGTGTGAGCCACTGTACCTGGCCATATTTTTGCTTTTTATGAAGATAGAGACGGGGTCTTGCAATATTGCCCAGGCTGGGCTCAAACCCCTGGGCTTACGCGAACCTCCCATCTTGGCCTCCCAAAGTGCTTGCTGGGATTACAGCCGTGAATAACTTTATATTTAATGTCTCCTTGTATTTCTGCCACTGGAAGGTGGTGATGGGGACTAGAGAGCTGTGGCTTCTGCCAGTGACTGGGGAATGTTTGTGACAACCTCTGTGTTTTCTTTCTTCTCACTGCCCTCCATCTCCACATGGCTCACCCCTTCACTTCTTTCTGATCTCTGCCCAAATTTCATTTATCTTCCTAACTCAGGACTACCAGACACCATCTAGATGTATTCTTTTATGTGTATATTGTCCATCTTCTTGCTAAAATATCAGTTCTGGCAGAGAAGGGGCCTCTGTCTTTCTTACTGTTCTATCCTCGGCACCTTGAGTAGTTCCTGGCATTACAGTTGGCACTCATTAAATATTTGTTTTATGAATGAATGTGTTTCTCCCAGATCTACTAAGTACCATATCCTGTGTGCTAGGCACAAGGAGATTGGTAATAAAGATGCCAGGGTACCAGTGCTGAAAAAACTCAGCTTACAGAAGGGGGACAAAGAATCACAGGGTTACTTGGCTGGTCACGGTGGCTTACGCCTGTAATCCCAGCACTTTGGGAGGCCGAGGTGGGTGGATCACCTGAGGTCAGGAGTTCAAGACCAGCTTGGCCAACATGGTGAAACCCCATCTCTACTAAAAGTATAAAACTTAGCTGGATGTGGTGGCACACGTCTGTAATCCCAGCTACCCGAGAGGCTGAGATATGAGAATCACTTGAATCTGGTAGGCAGAGGTTGTAGTGAGCCGAGATCTCACCACTGCACTCCAGCCTAGGCAACAGAGCAAAAAAAAAAAAAATTTGCAAACAGATGGAAGCAAACAAACACAAACATTTTGTCAGTCCTGTAAAATAGCATATTCCAATTTGTAATTTTGTTTTTTAACTTTTAATGAAGCAATAATAATTGGAAAAGATTTTACATTTCCATGGTAACTTATATTTTATAAAATGCTTTTTACATTGTATCTCATCTGACCCTCATGATAACCCTATAAAGTTATCAGGGATGAGTGGCCCTTTTTATAGACTAGGAAACTGAAACCCAGAGGATCAGTTGATATGCTGAAGACTCCACAGGGAGGCAGTAGCTGAGCTGGGGCTAAACCCAGTTCTCCCAACTCCCAGTCCAGTGTTCCTTCCAAAGCACCAGGCAGCCGTGCCGGAGGGTACCCAGGTGCTCTGGCTGATGATGAAGAGGTCATCCTGGATGGGGGGTGTGGGAAGGGGCACAGTGGAGACAAGGCCTCGAATGCCAAGCCCGAGAATTTCTGTCGATTCAGTGATATTGTCAGCACTACCATGGGTAACTGGGGTTCCAGAGTTGGTGCTGCAGGAACACATGGTGCCAGACCCTAAGCTGGGATTGAGGGGTCCCAAGAGTAAATGGAGTATTTTACGGGAGAGAAAGGTCTGTGAGTCACAGCATTCAGAGAAGGCTTCCTGGAGGAGATGCAGGTTGGGGTGGAATGTTAAAGGCAATGGGCTGAGACTTCCACATGAATTTGAATCTTTGTCTACAAGGTGACTGTAGACAAGTAAGCCAGCATGACTCAACTCAGGCCTCAGTTTCCACATATGTAACACACAGATATTGGGTTAGATATTCTGAGGTCCCATCAACTTATAAATTATGCAAATCTGGATTTTAGCAGGTTTGAAGAATGGGTATGTCTTTTACACATTGGAGATGAATGTTCTGGATAAGAGGGCACTACTTGAGCTAACAAAGACTCAGAAGTAGGAGACAGCAGGGTGTTCCTGGGAGGATGAAGAAAAGTCTGGCACCAGATGCCTGGGAGATAAAATGGGGTGTGAGGGTCATCCACAGGGCCCTTGAGTGTCCAGGTAAGGAAGAAGCCCGCACTTTACCCTGGAGCTGAGGGGAGCCATGGAATGCTTAAGAGCAGGATAGGCTCAAAGGAAAGCGCTCTGGCATTCTTGGATCTGATTTTCAAAGGGGAGTAAGGTGAGGCTAGTGTCCAGTTTACAGGAAACTTCCCGAGCCAAGACAGCCTCTCCTTGGGGACAGTGGGAAGGATGCTATGGATGCCTGTGTGTCTGTGGAGCCCCGACCTCTAGCTGTTGGATCTCTTCCTGTTGCAGAGCTGCCCCTCCAAGCTGAACCCGGAGACCTTCGTGGCCTTCAGCATCAGTGCCGTGGACAGACTCACTAAGGACACATACCGTGTCCGGTTTGCTCTACCCGGGAACAGCCAGCTTGGCCTGCAGCCTGGCCAGCACCTCATCCTACGGTACACTCAGGTAGCGGGAGGACCAAAGCTTCACAGCCCTGCTTTGCTATTTGCTAGCTGCTGGCCTTGAGCAACTAGCGTACTCTCCCTTAAGCCTCCATTTGTCATCTTCAAGATAGATATAGTGACACATGACTCAGAGGGTTCTTGGGATTGAACTAGATAATGCATTTTCATAATAAATAATAACAACACAATCACTTTAATAGCACTTACTATCCAAGGCACAGTTCTGTGTGCTTATAGGCGTGAAATAATTTAACCCTCACAAAATCCTGTGTGGTAGGTGCAGTTATTTCCCAGAGGAAATTGAAGTAAGAGAGGTCCAGAAACTTGCCAAGGTCACACAGTTAGGAAATGTTGGAGCCAGGATTTGAAGGCAAGCAGTCTGGCTTTAGAGCTTGTGGTATGAACCTAATATGATTAGTACCAATTGATAGAATTGAGAATAAAGGGCTTGCCCAGCACCACATAGCTAATAAGTCACAGAGCCAGGATTTAAACCCAGACAGTCTGGCTCCTGAGTTACGCTCTTTACCACTCCTCTGAGGTTCCTACTTCCTCCCAGTCTACTTAGGCACTCTACTCCCACCCTAGTCCCCACCCCTGCCTGCCCAGAGACAAGACCCTTTGGAATGTCCGGGTAGAGTTGTCTGTTAGGCTGTTGGCTCTGTGAATCTGAGGCTTAATAGAGAGATCTGAGCTGCAGGCATGGGTTTGGGAGTCATTGGCACATACCTGAGTGGTATTTGGAAACATGTGCATGGAAAGAGAAAGGCGCATAGGACCAAACCCTGGAAACACCAGCATCTATGGCATTGGCAAGAGGGGGAGGAGCCAGCAAAGGAAACAAGATGCGGCCAGAGGAGAAGGTGGAAGCCAGAAGAGCACTTACTGCTGTTCAGACTCTGGCCACTTGCTTCACAATGGTCCCTTTTATTTGTGTCCAGCTCCTTCTGGCCTGTGGCCTGGCCAGCAGTCCTAGAAGTTCACTATCCCAGTGGGCAGGAGGGGCCACAGGGCAGGTCACAGTCCCAGGCATCCTTCCATCCATGAACCAGAATGCCCAGAATTCCCTGCCTCCAGGCTAGCTCCCCTCCTTCACCCACTCTGTCCCTGCAGTGACATCCCTAACACACATATTTGACCATGTGACTCTGGAGTGCAGCATGGAGGCAATGTGGCACCCCAGAAGGTATCTGAGGTACACATTGCCTCCATGATGATGTCCTAACCCAAGGCCCCAGCTTGCTTTCCCACCATGTTCTTCTCCCTTTGCCATCCCACCCCTGCCCTGGTCTCAGCCTCCTGCTCCACACCCAATTCCCGCCACCCTTCCTGTCCCAATTTGCCCTTGTCAGTGACTGGCCTATCCTGCAGTGCCCACCTCCAGGAGGTTTCCTAGGCTCCCAGAGGAGACTGCACACTCCCTCTGAAATGTATCAGTTTTACCTCTGTTGCAGCAGACATCATAGTGCTCTGCAGCCAAGCCATGCTCTATGCTCTGTTCCTTATGTCCCCATTTGTTTCATATGCATCTATTAAGTATTTCTGTCCAGCCCCTCATGCTTTTGGTGCATTGAGACAGGGCCTTTTTAATCTTTGCATACCTCAGAGAAGAAAGTTTTGTACGTAGTAGGACTTGAGAGAAGACTGCTTAGGGAAGCTCCTGGGAAACTCTGAGGAACAGTGGTGAGGAACCCATCTCTGAAGTTAGAGCTGTGATTGAATTTCAGCTGTGCAAGTGACTTCACTTCTCTAAGCATTGGATTCCTCATTTGGGTTGTTGTTTGAGTTAAATGAGATAATGCATATGAAATGCTTGATACATGCATCCATTTAATACACCATGGCTATTACTGTGACTCATGGTGGTTATCCTGACCCTGTTTTTGGTAACATAGAGAGGATTCATGCATGAGATAGGGCTTCAGACTAGGGCCCTTTGAGGATCCTTCCAGTCCTAATGCTTCTGTCAGGTGCTAGTAAGTGTTTAATAAATGTTAGCAGTTGTTTTTATCTTTATCACTCTGTGGTCGAGAAGAGGTCAGGAAAAATGACAGTCATGTCTTCAAAACAACTCACATCCTCAGTGTACTTTTTGAAGCACTCTCCCATCCACACAACTGGAATGCAGATAGCTGTCCCCATTTTACAAAAGCGGCCACGGGAGATGAGATGATCTACTGGGATCTCACAGCCAGCACGTGGCAGTGGATGAGCCCAGTACTCTTTTTTTTCTGTTGCATCTTGCCTGCCTCTCACTGAGGACCTTTATTTTCACCAGCCTGGCAGAGGAGGTAGCTCATAAGGATTTGCAGTTGTTTGTTTGTTTGAGACAGAGTCTTGCTCTTTTGCCCAGGCTGGAGTGCAGTAACATATGATCTCGGCTCACTGAAACCTCCGCCTCCCGGGTTCAAGTGATTCATGTGCCTCAGCCTCCCGAGTAGCTAAGACTACAGGTGTGCACAGATGTGCACCACCACACCCAGCTAAATGTTTGTATTTTTAGTAGAGACAGAGTTTCACTATGTTGTCCAGGCTGGTCTCAAACTCCTGACCTCAAATGATCCACCCACCTCGGCCTCCCAAAGTGTGGGGATTACAGATCTGAGCCACCGTGCCCAGCCTTAAAAGGGTTTGTTGAATGACTGGCTGACTGACTGCATGCTTCTCTTTCCCAGAGGGATAGTAGATGACTTAGAAATTCAGAGAGCCTATACGCCCATCAGCCCTGCCAATGCAGAAGGATACTTTGAAGTGTTAATTAAGGTGAGTTGACCTTCGAGGATGCTCTCAGATGCCATGGACTTGTGCCTCCTCTGCCAAGTTGGTCATGATGGGGCAGTTCCTACCAATGTGGGGAAAGTCAGGGTTCACGGGAAAGGGGGCTGACCTGAGGGAGAAGCAGGGACAGGTGAAGGAGGACTTCTTCCATCTCCTTTCCTGGGGAAGGGACTGCCACTAGTCCACCAACAAAGGGCTGTTCCAGCATGTTCCTGACAGATTTTACTAAAAGATAACTCCGACTGAGAAGGGGAAGAAGGGAAACTGCTCGCCTCACCTTCCCGCCATCTGTGGAGAGTGAGCACCAAGCTGCACAGGGAAGGGGAGCCAAGGCCCCCTGCACCCACTGTGTGCTGAGCACAGGGGTCCAGAGGTGAGTCAAGCACAGTGCCTACCCTCAAGATACCTGCCCAGGACAAGTGACCAGATCAGGACAATACAGTGTGACAGATTTTGTGCATAAGGAGGCCCAGCCCAGCTCAGCGACTGGGTTGCAGGGGAGGCAGGCCGGGCTTCCTTGGAGAAGCTATGTGTCTAGGGAGTGGAGAGCTAGAGGGAAAATGTGGGAAGGAAACTCAGTGCTGGGAACAACATGGACAAAGGCAATTGGGGAAGTAAGTCCTTTGTTCTGGAACAGAAGGAAGGCATGCCAAGGGAGCAGGATGCAAGCTGAGAGGTTTAGGCAAGAGGTAGGACATGGAGAAGCTTATGGACAGGACTAACCTAACATCACCTCTCAGGGGAGGTGGGCAGGACCAGGGGCATTGGAATTGGACCTTGAATTCCAATTCCAATGCACTGGAATTGGAGTGCAAATTGGCAGTGGCCATAAATGGCATTCTAGGCTGAGGGGATGGTTAACCAAAGGTTGGGAGGGGTGAAATAGAACAAGTCTTCTAGGAACCGTACCCAGCCTGAGAACCAGGAGGAGAGGGTGCTGGTGGAGCAGGCGGGGTGGATGGAGGAATTGGCAGAGATGAGATGAACAAAGTAGGGGTGCAAAACACCCTGGAGACCCAAGGAATAGGCAACAAATATATAAGAAGTTGTGGAGGCCCAATTATGTGGAAAGAATAATTAGGTTGAGCTACATGAAATTGCTGATATTCTAACTTTTTTGACTTAAAGAAACATCAACTTCATGTGGGCCAACCTAATACACAGCTCTAGATCATCATTTCCCAAATGGAATCATTACAATATTTAAGAATAGTGTTCACATCCTTAATCTACCTTATAAGACATGACTTATTATCTGTATTGCATTGATAAGTAAACTGAGTCCCACAGAGGCCCCAAGGCCCCACAGCTAGTAAGAAGTGCTGCTGGTAGGTGAGTCCTGCCCCCTGACACCGAGACCTCAGCACTGGCTCCAGCTCCCGCCTTCCTACCTGCCATCAGAGTGCGAGTATTTATTCCCTCACACATAAGCTTGGATGGGATCCCTTCTTCACACAACTGTTTGTCTGGGAGATTCCACAAATCCTCTCCAAATGGCCTGCTTCCCCAAGCTGCTTCTCGGGGTGTGTTTCTGTGGAAAGGATAAGCCTGGAGACAGTTCTTCAGGGCAGCTGGATCTCTCCCAGCTGCAAGGCTGATTTTCTCCTTCGTTTACTGGAAAGCCTCTCTTTAGAGAGATGCCTAATTATCTCTAAGCCACTGGCTAGGAAGAGCCAAAAATGTCTTTGCAAATTGGGAAGGCAGGCAGGGCTTATTGTTTGACCCTCCCATGTAGAAGGGAAGGAGAAGCTCCCATTTCTCAGGCACTTTCTGGGTACCAGGTACTGCCCCTGTCTCTTTATTCTAATTATCGCATTTCAACCTCATAACCACCCTATAGAGTAGATCATATTATTCCCATTTTACAGATGAAGAAACTGAAGCTCAGAAAGATGACATCATTTGTCTCAAGGCCCCTTGGGTAATATCATCCAAATGGAAGGACAAAAGTTCAGTGTCAGTTCTGTTTAACAAGTATGTATTAAGCATTTACTCTGTGCCAGGCTCTGTGTGGGTATGTATTAGTCCATTTTCACGCTGCTGATAAAGACTTACCTGAGAATGGGCAATTTATGAAAGAAATGAGTTTAATGGACTCACAGTTCCACATGGCTGGGGAGGCCTCACAATCATGGCCGAAGGTGAAAGGCATATCTTACATGGTGGCAGATGAGAAGAGAGCTTGTACAGGGAAACTCTTCTTTGTAAAAAACATCAGATCTCATGAGACTTATTCACTATCGCAAGAACAGCACGAGAAAGACCTGCCCCCATGATTCAGTTACCTCCCACTGGGTCCCTCCCACAACACATGGGAATTCAAGGTGAGATTTGGATGTTGACACAGCCAAACAATATCAGGGTACTAAAGACAACATGGAAGAATCCTTCCCCTCTTCTTGGGTGCTGTCTATGCCATATGGCCTCTAAGGTCACAGCTGGGATCATGTCTCCCCCTAGACAGGGGCCAGAAAACAAAGCATGCATGGAGATAACCTCCAGCAAGGCAGGAGAAAAAACGCACCTTTCTAGACCCCTTCCAGTTGAGCCAGGGACTTCCCTTGCATTGTGCACGTGGTGCCCAGGGAAGTCAGGGATGATATCAGAGATGGCCATGGGTGCTTAAAAACAGGTCTGGGGACCAAAGCCATGTCTCTCTGTTAAGCCTGGCTATAATCTTACTCCAAACACCCTTCCAGTCCTGTTTCCCAGTGCTTCACCCTCACCCTCACCCTACCATGTTCCCTTGTTGTTCCCAAAACATGACCCAGATTGTCCTACCCCTGACCATACTACCCCTGATGTCCAGAGTCCTCTCTGCACCCCTGCTCACATCCCCAGTGAATTCCATCTTGCCCATCTTTCAAGTTCCAATTCAAATGCTTCCCCCTCCAGGAAGCCATCCTTGATCCCATCCATGGAAGTGACTGCAGCCTTCTCAGGTTTATTCCTAGTTTATTCTTCTCATGGGTATTAGATGGTCTCTACCTTGTATATGTCTGAGACTTAGGTCCCTTCTGGATTGTAAGCTCCTTAAGGGGACAGCCTGAATCTGGATTGATTGATTGATTCATTCATTCAGGTATTTATTAAGTTATTTCCATGGTTCAGGCACTGGCTGCCTTCATGGAGCTTAAGATCTAGGTGTCTTGCCTGCATCCTTAACATGGTACCTGGTACAGAGTGGACAGACACCCAGGCAATATAGACTCCCTTCTCCATGGAGGAATCATTCCTGTAACCTTCATTTTTCATCCAGCCAGGAGATGGTGTAGAATAATGCAGAGACTGCAGATAGGTGGCCTGAATCTAGCCCACAGATGTATTTGGTATTGGCCAGCATAGAGTTTTAAATTTTTGAATTAATTGCAGACATTTCAAAAATGGGAGATTTTAAATAAAAATATGGATTTCCTGCCTCTTTTGGAAAATCAATAGATCTGGCCAGTTAGGCCCCACAAACTATAGACTGAAACCTGCAAAGTGGCTTCCCTCCTTAGAAGGATTGCTTGCCAACTTATCATAATCCCCATCACTCCCTATTGTCTCCCTGATGCTGAGACTGTGTGTTAATTGCCATTAATCATCACCCGGTTCTTCACTCATTTATGGTACCTGCATGGTCCCTGTGGGCATTTGGGTTTGGGACCTCTATGTTGAAGGCTTTAGGTCCTATGGATTCTCATCCCAGTCTCCTGTCTACCTTCTGTGTAAGCTTCTGGGCCTCATCTGAAAATTGGGAATGACTGTACCAGGTTTGTAGGATGAGGAGGACAATTAAATGAGGTAACACATGTGAAGCACTTAGCATACAGAACAGGCTCCACATTAATAGCTAATCTGGTTTGTGTTGGCAGCATGTACCTATCCCACTGATGTCTCCCTGTGTTTGCTTCCAGTGCTACCAGATGGGGCTGATGTCCCGGTATGTTGAGTCCTGGAGAGCAGGAGACACAGCTTTCTGGCGAGGACCTTTCGGAGATTTCTTCTATAAACCAAACCAGGTCAGTGCCAGCACCTTAAATCCTCAAGAGATCCCTATTGACTGTGGTTTTCATGTTTCAGCCCACAGCATCTCACTGTGCCATTCTCCCTGAGCTCACACACAATCCCAAGTGTATCCTTGGGGTTGGACATGGGAGAAGATGGAATAGACACTTATTTTTTTATTTAGAGATGGAGTTTCACTCTTGTTGCCCAGACTGGAGTGCAATGGCGTGATCTCGGCTCACCACAACCTCCACCTCCCAGGTATAAGCGATTCTCCTGCCTCAGCCTCCCAAGTAGCTGAGATTACAGGCATGCACCACTATGCCTGGCTAATTTTGTATTTCTAGTAGATATAGGGTTTCTCCATGTTGGTCAAGCTGGTCATGAACTCCCGACCTCAGGTGATCCACCCACCTCAGCCTCCCAAAGTGCTGGGGTTACAGTCGTGAGCCACCACTTCCAGCCGGAATAGACACTTATAAATGAAACTGCCTGCCCAGCTCCAAAGTTACCCAGGGCACCCATTGCTTAGAACATCAGACTCACGTACTTGGCGTTTAGGAGCCCTTATGCCCTCTGACCCTCAGACACCTTCCAATTTCACAGTGCAGTCACATGACTAAATATGCCCCATGGCTTCCTGCTTCCCAGCTCAGATGGCTCTTCTCATCATCATCCTCGCATTTTTAAACCATTCCCCGACTTTCCCAGAAAGAATTCGTAATTTCTCATCAGTTGGTGCATATCTGGAAAGCATTATGACAGTATGTACCAAGAGTCTTCAGAGTCTTCAAATCCTTGGCCCCAGTAATTCCACTATGGAAGTCTGTCCTACAGAATGAATCAAAATGCTGGCTTTTTTGCATATGTTCATTGCATCTTTATTTAAAATAGCAGAAAATTGGAAACAACTGAATATCCAACAGCAGGGGAACAGTTAGGTACACTGGGCTACAGGTACTTGATAGAATAATATCCTGGATTTTAAAATTATGTTTATAAATGATGTTATATACTTATGCTGTAAGATCAAGTGACAAACCCTAGGTACAAAACTGAATATACAGGAGGTTGGGAAATTAAGTTAAAATGCACAGAGAAAATATGCAAAGAAAATGCAATGAAATGTTAGTTCTGGGTAGTGAAATTATGGATGATTTTTATTTTCTTCATTATACTTTCTAAATCATTTGCAGCGAACACCTATTACTTTATAATTAGGAAAACAAAGCAAAATGAAAACAAATGGAAAAGAATGAATCATGCCTTCCTCTCCATTCTTTTTGTTTAATTTTAAAATAGCTTTTTTGGCTGGGCACAGTGGCTCACGCCTATAATCCCAGCACTTTGGGAGGCCGAGGCGGGTGGATCACCTGAGGTCAGGAGTTTGAGACCAGCCTGGCCAACATGGCAAAATCCTGTCTCTACTAAAAATACAAAACATACTAGCCAGGCATGGTGTCATGCACCTGTAATCCCAGCCACTTGGGAGGCCGAAGCATGAGAATCATTCAAACCCAGGAGGCAGAGGTTGCAATGAGCCAAGATTGTGCCACTGCACTCCAGCCTGGGTGGCAGAAAGAGATTCTGTTTAAAAAAAAGATCTTTTATTATTTTTTTCTTTTATAAATGCAGTACATGTTCATTACCCAAAAATCAGCAGACAAAAAAAAAAAAGAAAAGAAAAAACACTCACAGGCAATCTACCTAAACACACCCATTTTATGGCTTGGTGTATATCCTTCCAAATCCTCTTCCACATGAGTATATGTACAAATGCATACTGCATGTACATGTGTAGTATATATGTATAATAATATCAAGCACGTGTAGCACCTCATGCGTGCCAGGCTCGGACCTTAGCACTTGCTATATGGTAACTTACACAGTCTTCACAGCAGCTCTTAGGTGCTACAACCCCATTCTACAGATATGTGCTATGCATATGTTAATACTCTTCCATAGTATTCTCCTAGTACTAACCATGCTTAGCCTTGCATTTTAGACCCTGCATCCCCCAGATGCTTGAGAGCAGGGAATGGAAATCGTTCATGTTTCCTCCTTGTCTTGAGTGGATAACAGTTGAACGTTGTCTTGACCACCTTTTCTGGTGGAGCCTCCCAATGCCTTGTGGCTGCTCCTTCACATGCACAGAATAGTTGAAAGGTCCTGCATTTATTTCCTGCCTTCCTGCCTTCCCCCCTCCTTTCCTCCCTCTGTTGCCCAAGCTGGAGTGCTGTCACAGCTCACTACAGCTCTACCTACTGGGCTCAAGCAATCTTTCTGCCTCAGCCTCCCAAGTAGCTGGGACTACAGGCGTGTATCACCATGCCCAGCTAAGTTTTGTATTTTTTTGTGGACACAGGATTTCACCATGTTGCCCAGGCTGGTCTCAAACTCCTTGGCTCAAGTGATCCTCCCCACTCAGCCTCCCAAAGTGCTGGGATTATAGGCATAAGCCACCGTGGATTTCTTATCTGGGGAGGCTATAGGACCTGATGGTGAGGAAAAAGAAATGGTGTCTCACACCTTAATATGCACTGAAATTTCAGTAAGCCTTGGTTTCACCATGCAAGGACATCTGGGAAGCTCCTGCCCTCTTCCAGGCCCTGTTTTGCTGCTCTGCAGTTGTCTTCATTACAGATGGATATTATATCAGCCCTGAGGACTGACATATTAGCATCTGTCTGTGCATTCATTCAACAAACAGACACAAGTGTTCACCCAGTGCCAGGGGACTCTGGGGACCCAGAGATGGGTCAGATGAGTCCCCTGTCCTCCAGAAGCTCACAGTCTGCTGGGGGAGTCAGACACACAGACAGATGACAGCAGCACAGTGTGGCCAGTGTGGTTCAGAGGGACTCACAGGGAGCTGTGGAAACACAAAGAAAGGACCCTCCCCTTCCCCTGCTTGGGGAAGGCCTTCCAGAGGATAGCCCGAGCTAGGATGGGAGAGGCGGAGGAGCACAGCAAGCTGAAGACCTGGAGGCTGGAGAGAGCACTGATGCGGAATAGCTGCCAGGCGTGAGTCTCAGCAGCTTAGGGAGAGGGAGGGATCTTATTGGATCTGCACCAGGCAGTTTTCTTTTTTGTTTGTTTTGTTTTGTTTTGTTTTGTTTGAGACAGGGTTTCACTCTTGCCTAGCTGGAGTGCAGTGGCATGATGGTGGTTCACTATAGCCCCAACCTCCTGGGCTCAAGCGATCCTCCTGTCTCAGTCTTGAGTAGCTGAGATTACAGGCATGAGCCACCACATGCAGCCAATCAAGCACTTTTCTTCATCTCATTTAATCCTTGTAACAGTTCTGAGATAGGTGCTGCTATGGGGAAGTGCTTTTCTTTTTTTACCAGTGAGGACACTGAGGCTCATATTGGTGAAAGAGCTTGCCCAGATCACATGGTTGGGGATTTATACCCAGAGGCCTAATCTCTAGAATGAAGGAGGTGAATACCCCTGCATCACTCAGGTACTAAACTTTAAGGCACAGACCTTAAAGAGGGTCACCCCTCTTTTTTTTTTTTTTTTTTTTTGAGATGGAGTCTCACACTGTCGCCCAGCCTGGAGTGCAGTGGCGCGATCTCCACTTACTGCAAACTCCGCCTCCCAGGTTCACACCATTCTCCTGCCTCAGCCTCCTGAGTAGCTGAGACTATAGGTGCCTGCCACCACGCCTGGCTAATTTTTTGTATTTTTGGTAGAGACGGAGTGTTAACCAGGATGGTCTCTATCTCCTGACTTTGTGAACTACCCGCCTCGGCCTCCCAAAGTGCTGGGATTACAGAGGGTCACCCCTCTTTAAGAGGCCTAGAGCCCGGAAATAAATTCAGTGAGGAGGAGCTGACGGAACTGGGACCTCTTGGGGTGGAAACTCACCCTTTTTTTTGTTTGTTTGTTTTGAGATGGAGTCTTGCTCTGTTGCCCAGGCTGGAGTGCAGTGGCATGATCTTGGCTCACTGCAACCTCTGCCTTCCAGGTTGAGCAATTCTCCTGCCTTAGCCTCCCAAGTAGCTGGGACTACAAGCGTGCACCACCACACTTGGCTAATTTTTGCATTTTTAGTAGAGATGGAGTTTTGCCACGTTGGTCTCGAACTTCTGACCTTAAGTGATCCACCCGCCTTGGCCTCCCAAAGTACTAGGATTATAGGTGTGAGCCACCGCTGCCGGCCGGGAACTCACCTTTTTCAAGTGACTCTTTTGTGCCAGTGCTGTGCTACATGCTTATGCATATTATTTCATTTAGCCTAGAGATGAGCAAGCTCAGAGGTCCAAGGTGGGCCCTTGAGATCTCTGCAGAGGTACCCTGGGGCAGAGGAAGCAGCCCAGAGAGCAGGGCTGGAATGGCGTTGGGAGTGGGCAAGGCTTTGATGGGAGTAGGTTTCAGCTCAATGTAAGTAAAGACCTCCCTGGCAAAGGATTTGGCCTATAGTAGGGCAAACTGCCTTGGGAAGTAGTGAGCTCCCTGTCAGCAGAAGTGTGTAAGCAGAGTACTTGTGGGGATGCTTTAGTAGGTAACCAGGCCACTTACAGGATGGGCTATACTGTTATGTTCCCTTTCAGCCCCCATATCTCATCGTCTCCATTACCCAAACCTCACATGCCTTTCACAAACAAGGACGACTTTGTGGAGGAGGTAGAGAGGGGACATAGGTGGTTGGACACCAAGGAAGGGCACTGCCATCCAGTTGAAGGAAGCTCAAGGAAAAGCCCCATAGTAGAGGGGATAGGGTGAGATTCTCCCAACCCACCTGTCATACATACCCCTTCTATTCCCCAGTATGGTGAGCTCCTCATGCTGGCTGCGGGCACGGGCCTGGCCCCCATGGTGCCCATCCTGCAGAGCATCACAGACAATGAGGATGACGAGACTTTTGTCACTCTAGTCGGTTGCTTCAAGACCTTTGAGAGCATCTACCTGAAAACCTTCCTCCAAGAGCAGGCCTGTTTCTGGAACGTCCGTACCTTCTTTGTACTCAGCCAGGTGAGCCCAGGGTGGTGACTTCCTTTTTTGATTGAGACTCTGCAGTCCCTTTGCACCTGTCCTGAGTACCAGCTCTAGCCTCTTTTGGCAATGGACGCTGTAGTCATAATCCCTGCCACTGGTGGAGCACCCACCTGTAAGGAAGGAAGGTGTTCTCATGTTCATTATACAGATGAGGAGATGCACGTTCTAGGGGTGAAGCTGCCCACCAGCTCATGCTGCTGGACAGGGCTGAGGCCAGGATTTGAGCCCAGGGCTGTCTGGTTGCCGAGCTCTGGCTCTCACCCCATGCGTTGCTGCCTCCCATTGCCCTCTGGCATCATCAGTTACATGGGCAGGGGCCTGGCTGTAGAGGACATGGCAGGCTGCAGACCTCCCTCCGACTGAGTGATGTTCCTTGAGGCAGAGACCACATGTCTACCTCAGCCTCTTTCTTCAGTGCTTAGCATAATGCCAGGCCCAGAACAGGGACTCCATTAGTGACTGCTGGAGTAAACTGATCTGAGTTCCCTGTGCTTACTAGTATCCTTCCACCTCAGCCTGTCCCTCCATAGGAGGACCCCACTGTAGCTGGCAGCGACTCTCCCTGCTGAACCCTCCTCCCTCTGACTCCACATCCCCTCTGCTCACTCAGGTAACCCTTCTGGGGTCACCCCCATAGGTTAGAGCACGGGGGTTTATCTGCCCCTCATCTCAAGCCAGGCCCTCAGCTACTTTTGCTGGCCTGCCTTTCCCTGGTTGGTAGCTTCACTTTTCCCTCCTGTCCCCCATGGGTTGGATTCCTGCTGGGCCCCCTGTGTTCCCTGGTGCTCAGGGTCAGCCTTCTTGCCTGGTGCTGTGGAGCACCCTTCTCATCTGGTCCCACTATGAGGCAGCTTTATGTAGTCCCTAAACATTTATTTGATCCTCAACATTGTGGCTGGGTGTGGAGGGTGAGGAAATTGGATTTCCCATCCCAATATAAGGGTCCCTGGGCTCCCCAGGGTCTGGGTTCCGCAGGCCTGTCCATGGGGCAGAATGCTCAGTGGCATGACATTGGGAGCATGGTGAACATTTATAGCAGCAGAAAGTGCCTAAGGAAGGAGAATGGAGCCAAAGGCTAGCGTGCAGCCCAAGGGGTGGGTGCAAGGGATGGGCCACTGTTGCCCAGCAGCACAGACAGCCTGCCTGAGAGCCTGGACAAGGACACTGGGAGGAGGGCAGGAAGGCAGCACCTGGCAGAGGGTCCGCAAGCTGCTGGCCAGCTTTGCTTTCCCTCCTCTATCACCTGAGCATGTGGCAGGTGTCAGAGACACAATAGTGAAGGTGACCAACTCCCAGCCCTCTGGCTGCTCACCTATCTGTGGGTGACAGCCACAGAGGCGGCCGAAAAGGTCTCCCCTTCATTCAGCACATTCTCTGTAGCCAGCACCATTCTAAGCACTTTATTTACTCATTTAATCTCCACTACAATCTTATGAGGCTTATACTCCCATCTTGCTCCTTGTACAGATGTGAAACCACAGAATGGTTAAGAACCTTGCCCAGGGTAACATAGCTGGTTAGTGGAGAGTGGAGTATGAACCCAGGAGGTCCTGCTCAAAGGCTGTGGTCTTAGTGCTCCTCGGAATAAGGCAGCACAGCACAAGGTGCTGTGAAGATGTTCAGGATGCCAGCGGTGGGCAGAGAGGCCAGGCAGGGTCAGGGAGGGCTTTACCAAGCAGGTGGCTTTTCAATTAAAGTTCACCAGCAATAGAAGATTTTTAGCCCCCAGCTGGGCCAGGGTGGTGCCAGTGGCCTGGAGTTGGGCAAGCGAGTGGGCTGGCCATTAGTGGCAGGTGAAAGGAGTGACTTGTGGCTCCTGCCTGTCCACACTCCCTTGACTCAGTGTGCGCCCTCACCTGCCTGGGCCACAGCTGCAGCATCCTGAAGAGTCTCCCCGTACCAGCCGCTCCCTGCTGATTTGTCCTGCATCCTGCAGTCCTAAGGGCAGATCTGACCACACCACCACCCTGTTTCCAGCGCTTCCCTGGCTCCCTACTGCTCACAGGATAAGGTCCACACCTGAGAACTGCCTCCCTCTGCGGCCTCATCTCCCAGCCTGCCCTCCCTCTAAGCTGTGGCCTGATGTCACTGGTCTGCCCCTGGTTGCAAGTGTGCTGTGCTTTTCTGGCTTCTGGGCCTTTGCTCACGCTGTTCTGCCTACCAGGAGTGCTCCCCCTTCCTCACCTCCCACCTGTGTACCCCTCACATCCCTGTTGAGGTAGAAGTCCATCCTGGAAGCTTTCCTAGAGCCCCCAGGCTGGTCTGGGTGGTTCTGCTGCCACCACCCCGGCTCTCCTTCACAGCACCCACCTGCTGCACCGTCACTGTTTGTGGGGTCCCCTGCCCATCTCACCAGCAGCCAGGCCCAGGGCATCTCAGGGTGCATGGTGGGATAGGCTGAGCTGAACCTAAGTAGTCTGAGGGAAATGAGCAGTGGAAAAGGGGAGGTGAGGCTAGTGGGCCCCAAGGCCCCATCTGGTGGGTCAGACTGTAGCGGGAGCATGGGAAATGCCAGATCATCAGAGAGGATTCCCTCATCAGCACAGACTCTGTGAGGTGGGACTCCAGGGCACCCTGTTTGTTTTGTTTTGAGACAGGGTCTCACTCTGTTGCCCATGCTGGAGTACAGTAGTGCAATCATAACCCACTGAAGTCTCAACCTCCCTGGGCTTAAATGATCCTCCTACCTCAGCCTCCCAAGCAACTGGGACTACAGGCGCATAGCACTTCCCCTAGCTAATTTTTGTATTTTTTTGTAGACCAGCTTTTGTCACATTGCCCAGGCTGGTCTTGAACTCCTGGACTCAAGCGATCCTGCCACCTCAGCCTCCCAAAGTGCTGGGATTACAGGCTTGAGCCACTGTACCTGCCTCCAGGGCCCTTTGAGTGGGCCTCAGAATAGAGGCCTCTCCTCACAGGGCCTCTGCCAGGGCTTGCACCAGCACCACGGCTCTCTGGACAGTGACTTTCCATAGAGGATACTCTCCTCACAATCACAATCCTGAGAGGTCAGTCACTCAGCCAGGAAAGTGGCAGTGGAGCTCCACTCGCCACCAATCCTGTCTTTGTGCCTAGCCCCAGGAACTAGCAGCTTGCCCTCATAGGATCTGCAGAGTGATGGCTCTGTTCTGGATTTTGTTTTTTGTGGGCTGGTAAGATGGTTTTTTCATTTAAATTCTTCAGACTATATATAGTTGTCCCTTGGTATTCATGGGGGATTGACTCCAGGACCCCCTGCAGATACCAAAATCTGAGGATGCTCAAGTCCTTGATATAAAATGGTGTGGTATTTGCATATAACCTACACACATCCTCCCATGTGCCTTAAATCATCTCTAAATTATAATACCTAATACAATGTAAATATTGAGTAAATAGCTCTTACTGTATTTCTTTTTGTGTTTCTATTGCTATATTGTTATTTTTAAATGTTTTTTAAAAAATATTTTCAATCCACAGTTGGTTGAATCCATAAGTGTGGAACCCATGGATACAGAGGGCTAACTGTATACTTAATGATTTGTATACTTTTCTACACATATGTTGTACTCCAATAAAATGTTCATTTAAAAAAATAGAAGAAATTCCTTCAAGTCACCTGGGAGTAGAACTTTCATTTTGTGACCCTGAGGAGGAAAGCTTCAGCTAAGGCTAGAAAGGCAGAGAGTAGGGTCCTGGGTGCCTGGGGTCACCGTCCAGCCTTGGAATGCGAGCTTAGCCTTTCTCGATGAAGGCATTGTGACCTGGGATCTGTGTTGTATGCAGCCAGGAACCTTGTCTCTTTTGAGCAGCTGCCATATCCCCAGTGGCTAGCTCGGTGCCTGGCACAGAGTAAGCACTTGGTAAATATCTGCTAAATGAACATGTTCATTGAAACCTTAAAAGAAATGAGCAAGAGTTATGCTCCAAGGGTGATGATGATAGCTGACCTTGGAAAGATTCTGGGAAACCCACAGTCGGGGGAGAAAACATTCCTCCCACAGTGACAGGTGTGGCTGCTGGAAGGCAGCGAGAAATGGTGGGACTTGAGTTCTGGTCCTGCTGCTGCCCCTACCTCATCATGTGCCACGGGGAAGTCCCTCTTCCCTGTGCCTCTCCTGTCATGGGAAGGTGATAGTTCCCACACGCTTGTTTTGGGGATGAGGAGGAAGTGCCTGGCCCACGGTGGGGCTGGATATAGGCTGGCTTCCTACAGCCTCGGTTTCTTTATTTTGCAGAGAAGAGCTGGCTCTGTGAACACTAAGGACCCCCCGCTCCCTTGTAGTAACCCATGCCTTTCTTGTCTTCCCAGGAGAGCTCCCCAGAGCAGCTTCCCTGGAGTTACCAAGAGAAGACCCGCTTTGGCCGCCTGGGCCAGGACCTAATTAAAGAGCTGGTCAGCTGCTGTCGGAGAAAGCCATTCGCACTTGTCTGTGGCTCGGCTGAGTTCAACAAGGACATAGCCAGGTGCTTACTGTGCGCAGGCCTCACTGAGGACTCCTATTTCCTCTTCTAGCCCTGGCCTCCCTTCCAAAGCCTAGGCCATGGGCCTGCTACTGGGACCCAGGAAGGAGCACAGACTGGAATCAGAAGACATGGAGTCCAGGCCTGGTCCTGCTGCTCATTTGCCAGGTGACCTTGGGCAAGTGTCTTTACTGCTCAGAACCTCTACTTCTCATCTGCCCCATGAGGTTAATCACTCCTCTGGCCTCCTACTATGTGGAAAGAGGACAGGCTGTAGGGACCCTGAGGAAGCGAGCAACCAGCCTGGGAGTCAGGGAAGACTCCTCAGAGGAAGCCAAGTCCAGGCTGAGCCCCAGGAGGAGTAGGAATTGGGCAGGGGAAGATTCAGGAGGAGCTTCCCTGGCCTCTCCGATTAGAGGATCTAATGGGGGCTCCAGCTGTGGCCTCAGCACCATCTCAGATTAGGGCTTCCCGAATGTGTAGGGAAGGACCCAGGAGAGGCTAAAAGCTCTTTGGAGGAGAATTCTACCTTTCCTCCTGTGCCATGAGCCTGACACATGAAGGTCTTGGGTTCTATGACTTCACCATGTCCTGAGAGCAAGGTGGGGCCCTGGACTGTCTTTGTATTGGCCCCAAGCCTTTCCTGCTGTGAACAGCTTCATTCTCAGTCCCCTTTCCTGGCTCAAGAATTGAAGAGGCAATTCAAAAGAAGAGGCACGGGAAGGAAATGCCCCTCCCTCCTTCTGCAGGCAGCCACTCAGCCTGTGCCTTCAGCTCGGTGCCCTGGTGACAGTTGCTATGGAGATCTAAAGATAGAGCAGGAGTCAGGAGACCTGGGTCCCTCTCCCAGCTTGTCCCACTGAGCGGCTGCCAATCCCGGTCCACCCACCCCAGGAACCCGGCACCCCCATCCCAGGAACCCAGTGCCCCTGGGCAGTGCACTGCAGTTAATGAATTCTGCTTTCCACAGCCTGGGCTCCAGCATGCTGCACCAGCTTGGGCTAACTACAGGCAGTCCCAGAATTGGAATACTAAGCCATGGAATCTTGGAGTTAGATGTTTATAGTCATAGAAGTGTACTCCTCACCATATCAAAGCTGAAAGTTCAGGACTCTAAGAAACATACAGTGTGACAGACTTATCATATACACGGGAAACTGAAGCCCAATGAGACTAAATGACTTGCCCAGGGTAAAACAGTCCATGGCAGAGCCAGCACTAGAAGCCTCCTAGCTTCAACCTCATGTGCCAGTTCGGCACCAGTGGTTTTCAAACTGCACTCCACAGGAAACAAGCGTTCTTTGCATAGCAGCAGTGAAAGGACAGCTCCAGATGGATCCCCAGGCCCCCCTTCAACCAGAGCAGTTCCGTTTTCATCCCATTTGTATATTGGGGTTTCGAAGTATTTTCATTTGTAGAAAAGGATTTTCCTATCCTGCTCAGAAAAATGGCAACAAATCTCTCTGCTGTGTCACATTTAATAAATAATTGTGACACACAGCTGGGGGATGGTGCCGGAGGTTTCAAACTGCTTCACAGGCAGAGTTCCAGGGTCAGAGAGCATGGAGTGCTGTGTGTGACCTTCTCCCAGAAGCGTGGGCACAGGAGCGTGTTAAAGGCCTGAAAAGACCAGTGGCAAAGAAACTCCTTTCATTTTGTCTAACCCAGAGTTTCTCCAGCTTATTTAACTTTAGAACACTTTTCTATGGGTTTCGTAGCCTCTTTCTAGCACAGCATAATGAGCGGGAAAGGCCCTGACTGAGAGTCAAAGATTCTGAGCAGGAACCGTGATCTCTTCCTGCCTAGCCTGTGACTTGAGCAAGACACTTTTCCTCTCCCCGGACCTCTGAGGTCTGCGATTTTCCCTCCACCCTTTCCTCTCCCTCAGTTTGCACGTCCTATTGACTCAGCTGCAAATAGCGGGGGCCTGTCAGGAGCCTGACTCTGTTCAGACACCAGGGAAACAACAGCACACCAGGCAGATGCAGTTATGTCCAGTGCGGAACTTACAGCCTAGCAAGGAAGGCAGAAATTCAACCTGTAATTCTAAAAGGGATAGATGTCATGGAAAGGGAAGTGTGGAGTGCTGGGAGAGTGGATGACAGGGGCTTTAGCCCAGTCTAGGGAAAGGCCAGGGGCACACCACTGCCACCAGGGATAGAGGCTTCAAAAGCTTCCAAATCACTCATATTGAGAGTGTTGCTGGGCATGGTGGCTCACACCTGTAATCACAGCACTTTGGGAGGCTGTGGCAGGCGGATTGTCTGAGCCCAGAAGTTCGAGGCCACCCTGGCCAACGTGACAAAACCCTGTCTCTACAAAAAAAAAAAAAAAAAAAAAAGATTAGCCCCGTGTGGTGGTATGCGCCTATAGTCCCAGCTACTTTGGAGGCTGAGGTGGGAGTATTGCTTGAGCCAAGGAGGTCAAGGCTGCAATGACTGTGATTGAGCCACTGCACTCCAGTCTGTGTGACATAGCAAGACCCTGTGTCAAAATAATAATAATAATAAAATCAAAAAGAGTGTTAAGGGGGTCTCCACTTAAGGAGTAGAGAGTTTGAGGCAGTTCTCTTATCTCTGTCCTTGTCTGGTTTTAGATGTATGATGTTTAGATACTAGACAAGGCCGCCCAGTGGTAACCAACCTAGAATGTGTTGGCCTCCTCTTCCCCTCACTCCGTGTAGGTTCTGTACAGCCTGGCTGCTGGTGGGATCTCTCATCATGGGACATTGGTGAGGACCCAGCCATGCCCTTGGTGCCAAGAAGCCTAAAGGGCTCCTGTCACCTGGAAACCTGAGGGTACGGGGCCGGGTGCTGTGCCCCACAGGGTGCTGAGCAAGCCCAAGAAGAAGAGTGTGGGGTGTGGTGTGTGAATTCAGACCTTTTGGAGCTGGGGGCGATTCCCGTCAGCTGCTGTTCCTTTGATGATGCCCACTGCGTGTTGTGAGAGGCGTGACCACCGTGTGATGTTGCAGTGAGAGAAGGGAGGTTTAGGAGCTAAACATGATACACAGACATCAGGAGGTCAACCAGGTGTCCGCAATCTATGAGCCAGACACAGCTCTCTTTGTGCATGCATCCCAAGCTTCAGGAAGGCAACAGCTACTAGAGGGCCTGGGGACAGATTCTTGTTAGCAGAAGTGGCGATGACTTTAGCTCAACCCTCACCATGTTTACCGGCGTCGCTTCTGCGTTCCCCTCATGGGGCTCCCAGCTCCCAGTCTGCATGCCACCTCCATGCCGAGACCAGACCAGTTTTCCCTACACACAAATCTGGGCCTGTCACTCCCCTGCTTGAAATCCTTCCCTATCTCCCTGTGGCCTTGAGGTACGGCCTCTCTGCTCTGCCACCTCTCCAGACATTTTCTATGCCGCCGCCCGCTCACACACACCTCTCAGGCTCCAAACATGTTCTCTTGCGTCAGCCCATCCCTTACACTAGCTGCTTCCTCTGCCTCGCCAGCCTCCCACCTTCCCATCTCCCACTCACCTTTTTTGCCTCCTCATCTTCTGAGGTCTCAGCTCAGTGCCACTTCCTCTGGGGAGCCTCGCCTGTGTCTTCCACTCCAGCTTGGTCAGTGAGCACAGGGGCTTGTGTGCTTTTCTGTCGCTGCACCCGTCAGTCTCATCTGCATGTGGGCATGAGGGCCAGCCCATTGCACCCCTGACAGGAGAGGATGCTCAGCACTTCCTGAATGGCAAATACCTGAGCGATAAACAACTCATGTTCAGGAAGTGCTTTCCGGGTGGCAAAATGTGTTTCCTCTACTTTGAAGCACAGAATCTTCATCAATATGCATGCTATTTTATTACCCCAATTTACTGATGAGGAAACTAAGCTTCTGAGACTTCAAGCAATTTTCCAAGGTCATGTAGGGGTACCCAAGTTCCAGCATGTTGTGATTGTTGTAAAGGTTATGTGTGACACATGAGTGCACCCAGAAATGTGTATAAAGATTGTTATTGATGGCCAGGCGCGGTGGCTCACGCCTGTAATCCCAACACTTTGGGAGGCCGAGGTGGGCGGATCACCTGAGGTCAGGAGTTCGAAACCAGCCTGGCCACCATGGTGAAACCCTATCTCTACTACAAATACAAAAATTAGTTGGGTGTGGTGGCACACACCTGTAATCCCAGCTACTCGGGAGGTGAGGCAGGAGAATCGCTTAAACCCAGGAGGCGAGGTTGAAGTGAGCCCAGATCACACCACTGCACTCCAGCCTGGGCGACAGAGTGAAACTCAGTCTCAAAAGAAAAAAAAAAAGGTTTTTATTGCTGCATTCTCTGAAATAGCAAAGAATAAAAAAAACTGCCTGTAGATACAGCAATTAAAGTGAACTCCATCCACATGTACCAATATAGACGAAGTCCTAAAAATATAATAACTGAGTGAAATGTACATTATGAAAGGATAGCTACAGGGAGATACCTGTACTTGGAAACTGTAAAAACCCAAAATAATGCTAAATGCTCATGAAGAGACAGAGACACACCAGCTTCAAGGATATTGGTGACCTGTGGTGATAGGTAGAAGGGAGTGAGATGGGGTGATGGGGCTTTTAGCCGTATCTGTATTTGTGTTTTACTGTAAAAATACTTGACATAAACATGACAAAATATGAACACCTGGTAAATCTGGGCAATGAGTTCCCCAATGTCTGCTATATTATTTTCTGTCTTTTTCTGTTTTTCAAATAGTTCCATAATTAAAGATTTTTTAAAAAGTCAAATGTGCTTGTTCAATGCTCTCTAGAAACTAGGGGCTTAGAAACATTCACTTTCTCCTACCTCGGAATAGACTATGCCCCTTTATCCCCCCAGACATTTTAGCCATTCACTGAAGATCATTTCTGAGCACCAACTGTGTTCCAGGCCCCGTTCTAGGTGCGGGAGACACAGCAGTAAATCGTATAAATCATTCCCGGTCTTCATAGCTGATGGGCTGTTCTGTCTACTTTTCCCTCTTTCTCATAAACTCAAACCAGAATGACTTGCCAAGCACCACACTGTTGGCCTATTTCTTTCTTTCTTTTTTTGTTGTTTTGTTTCCCTTTGTCAATGAGGCAGACCTAGGTTTGAGTCTCTTACTGATCCTGTGTCCCATGGCAAGTAACTTGGCCCCTGTGAATCTCAGTTTGCTCATCTATAAAATGGGAATGGTAGTGCTGTCTCCTTGGGTTGTGTGAGGATGAGGGAAACGTGTAAACCCCAAACACAGCACCTGGCACGGAGTGGGTGTGAGACCCCGTTCCCACTTCTTTCTCCCTCCCCAGCAGTGCCTGACTCATGGTTGACCTCTGAGGACAGCATTTATTTCCAGACTTTCAGTATCAAGAACTCTCCTTTTTATTATTTTTCCCATGCTTTGGAAGATTTTGATCCCAAATTGTATGTTTTAAGTCGTTATTCGTGACATTTTTTATTAATGAAAGACACAGATAGCTGCCCCTCAGAGTTTCTGATGTGTACATCCAGCTGGGAGCTGCAGAGGTTGCCATAATTCCAGCCAGAGGCAAAGGAGCTCAGCAGTGTGTGTGGCCCAGGGGCCCAAGGAGGGGAAACAGGTGCATCTTATTCTGTTTCTTTTCTTTAATGGACCGTAAGTCGTGGAAGCTGCTGAGGTCACCCAGATAGTTGCTGCTTTCACAGGGGGTCACTGACTGATGGGCTGGAGGCTGAGGTTTGGGTGCCAGGGTCTAATGTGGGGCCCCACGTGGGCCTCATCCCACAGGGCTCACTCCAAACAGATGTCACACACGAGTGCCACGCAGAAGAGCGTGGGTTCACATAGAGGGAGGTGGGAAAGCTGTCTGCATGCAGGTCCCACAGGCTCTGGCTGGAGACCACCACGTTGTCCTGCCCCTGGCTCCCGATGCTAACAGAGCAGACTAGCTTGTAATGGGGCGGGGTGGTACTCGACCTGGTCCCAGCACTCAGATTCACGGCCAGGTGGGCACACTGGGCTGGCTGGTGGGCCTCACCAGCCAGCTTAGAAGGCAGGTGAGCTGTATCAGCTCCTCTGCCCAGGTGCAGGGGAACTTCACCTCCAGCCTGGCTGACCCCAAGGGAACCTGGAAGGAGAGGGAGGTGGTGGTGGTGGTGGTGGAAGTGTGTATTTGCAACAAGCAGAGCATTTGGCACATTAGGCTTGAAGCCTAATGTGTTGAACACAGAACTCTGAGTTGGAACATATGATTTCGAACAATGGGAGGGAAAATGGGATGCAGGCCCTGGAACACAAGAAAACAACTTTATAAACTGTAGAGTGTGTGTATATGACAGAGATTAACCTAGCTTCCAAGTGGCTGAGGCTACAGGCTGAGGCCCGTGACCCTCAGTCCCCTCCCTCTTGCGCATCCCCAGGCCACAGGCCCATACCTGCTCCTGGAAGATGCTGATGAGCCACTGGTGACTCAGCTAGAGCTGCAACCGTGTTCTCAAAGCTGTCTGTTTCTATAAAAATGAAAATGAGTATCCAGGTAGACAGCATTTGCTGAATGTCTACTGGGCACCAGGCTGTAAAATGTTACTATTTTAGGCTGGGTTTGCCCCAAAGCTGATGCTGAGCAAGGATGTGGGTGAAAGAAGTTTATGTGGAGGTGCTTCAGGGAAGCATGGTGAGGAAGTCATGGGGAAAGACAATGAAGGGCATGTGGATGGGCAGGCTACCACTGGTGGCACCCGGAGCTCATCCTGCTGGGACCCTGCCAAGAGACTGTGTGGAACATGCCTCAGTGATCCCACCGAGGGATGGAGAAGCTGGGGCATTTATGCACCAACAACCAGACTCCCTTATTGGCTGAGAGCATGAACTCCTGGCATTTCAGCTTCCTGTGGGTGGGTCAAGTGCTTGGCAGCCAGAGAAGCCCCCAGGCAGAGACACACAGGAAGCCATCAGTGCACATAGAAAGTTCCCACAGTTACCTCCAGTTCGGCAGGGGGATATGGATAGCACATCAACAGTGTCTACTATGTCACTTTGCTTAATTCTCACAATCTTTAGAGATCAGCAGTTTCTTTATTTTACAGGCAAAGGAATTGATTAGCAAGAGGTAAAGGAGCTAGTGGAGAAAGTGGTGTTCTTGTATGAGGGCAGGGCTCGATACTGTGTCCCCTCCCCACCCCATGACCCCATCTAGTGTGATGTCTGGCTGGCCACAGTGTGGAGGCAGTGTCTGTTGACGGAAGGGGTGAGCTGGTGGAAGCCGTGTGACCGTGAGTTGGTGACCACTCTTCTGTCAGATGAAGGTGCTGATTCTTTCCTCCCAGGGCTGCTTTGCAGAGTAGAGGAGATTGTGTGAACCAAGTGTTCAGCTCAGTGCCTGGCCCACAGGGGAGTGTCCGTGAATGTTAATTCCCTTCCCCTGCCTCCCTCTAAGGGGACGATATGGTTTGGCTGTGTCCTCATTCAAGCCTCAACTTGAATTGTATCTCCCAGAATTCCCATGTGTTGTGGGAGGAACCCAGCGGGAGGTAATTGAATCATGGGGGCCAGTCTTTCCTGTGCTATTCTCATGGTAGAGAATAACTCTCACAAGATCTGATGGTGTTATCAGGGGTTTCCACTGTTGCGTCTTCCTCATTTTCTCTTGCCACCACTATGTAAGAAGTACCTTTCGCCTCCCGCCATGATTCTGAGGCCTCCCCAGCCATGTGGAACTGTAAGTCCAATTAAACGTTTTCTTCCCAGTCTTGGGTATGTCTTTATCAGCAGCATGAAAATGGACTAATGCAGTAGTTTGGTACCAGTAGAGTGGGACATTGCTGAAAAGATACACGAAAATATGGAAGTGACTTTGGAACTGGGTAACAGGCAGAGGTTGGAACAGTTTGGAGGCCTCAGAAGAAGACAGGAAAATGTAGGAAAGTTTGGAACTTCCTAGAGATTTGTTGAATGGCTTTGCCCAAAATGCTGATAGTGGTATGAACAATAAGGTCCAGGCTGAGGTGGTCTCAGCTGGAGATGAGGAACTTGTTGGGAACTGGAGCAAAGGTGACTCTTGTTATGTTTTAGCAAAGAGACTGGAGGCATTTTGCCCCTGCCCTAGAGATTTGTGGAACTTTGAACTTGAGAGATGATTTAGGGTATCTGGCGGAAGAAATTTCTAAGCAGAAAAGCTTTTAAGAGGTGACTTGGGTACTGTTAAAAGCATCCCATTTTAAAAGGGAAACAGAGCATAAAGGTTTGGAAAATTTGCATCCT